TAACCAGTTACTCAAAATGAGTTAATTAGTTACACCCCTTGTAACCAGCCACCCTTCGCTATTGATTTATGGTGTAATTGGTTACACCCTCACAAAATTGCCCAAAAACCACGTTTTCAACACAGTTTTTCAGTACGAAAATCACTTTTCTACACACCCAAAAAATCATATTTTTCCTACTACTCGAAAAACACATTATTGACCCCAAATTCAATTTTCAAAAGCACTAAAACTCCAACTCTTTTCATAAAAATTTACTCATACTTTAATTCCGACTCTGACTTGAAATCAATCATCAACAACACAATAACTACATCATACAATCCATCAATGACACAATTTCAACAATGTATGATACTAACATCAGTTACAACATCAACATACCACACACAAAATTCATCTAGAATTCATCAAGAATTACTCAATCCAACAATTGCCAATTCATCAAAAATCATGAATAGAGATAGGAAACACAAATCCTACATGACATAATGTATCCAACATTATCATGTTAACCCTTAGATAATTAGAACCCCACCCTTACCATAGAGTTCTTGTCAAAAGCTTCACAACAATGGAGTTTCTTCTCTCTTCCTTACTCTAGTCTTTTCTTCTCACAATCTCTTGTTTTCACGATCAAACAATTCTCTCTCCCAACTTCCCTTATTTCTCTTTTATTATAATATTATTATTACTAATTCAACTAATTAAAATAATTATAATAATAATCACTAATTATTTAATTTAATAATATTCAACTAATATTATAATTAACTAAATATTACTATTATAATTTAATTAGTCATACTCACCACACTATCAAATTTTGCATTATTGGTCACACATTTCTCCTCAACCTTTAAAGTCTATTTTTAAAGTTAGTACCTTACACTAAGATAGCTCAAATACATCAAAGCATAATACGATCATAATTATCGCTTAATCAAAATACAAAAAAATTAAATAAAATAAAGCGGAACGTTACAAAGATTCTGAATCCAAACCCCAAAATAAGATAGAAGATAAATTCCAATTTGATGAATGAAAGTGAACATATGAAATGCCAATGTAAGACTGTAAACTACAACATGATACATCACACATTTGGACCAGGAAGACTTCATTATGGTATTTCCATACAATGAGAGTTAATGAGAGCAAGTAAGTAGTGATAAGGGGAGTATAACACAAGCTGGACATCCATCCCTAGCGGAAGATCTCGTTCCATGAAAACCCTCCTCCACATGGAGCCCTTTCGCAGACAAGAAGAGCTACCTAATTGAACAATGACGCAACTAAGTCGTTTCCATCATGTGATTTCTAGTATTACTAATTAGCTGTTACAATGTAAACATTTCCCTACAGAATTAATAAATGAGATTTTGCAAAGTTCTCGCATTATTATTATATGAAGAAACAAGAACACAGGCCCCGAGATGTGGGCGTTGGGACAACACACACAAATATCATGCTGAAACCAGCAAAAGACCGTCACCCTTTCGAAAGACGTGTATGAAAAGTCATATATTTCATCCATAACACCAAGAAATTACTTCATCAATAGAATACATCGAAGCTTTATATGAAAAAGAAGATAATATAAGTCATATCATGTGGTAATAGCCTAAGACAACAACTTGACAGAATCAAAAATTAAGATATCAATGAAAGTCTAAAAGAATAGCCAAACTCAACGGCCTTCATATATTTTCTCTTCAAATAGATCTTTTAAAATTTTGCATCTTGCAATTTCTAATTGATACCTTTTTCACAAAACATATTTAAAATTGAAAATATTCTAAGATCTCTTATTTCACCAACCTCAATCAATAGACGAGTTTAAATGTATCGTTTCCTCCATTTTATGGAATTGACACCGGAGGATCTCGTATATCCAACAAAGTCAAAAAATTTCGAAAATATGGTGAGCTTAGTCTTTTTAAGTATTTTTTTTCCTGAGATAGATCATCAGGCAATGTACGACCCTAGTCCCACCAAAAAAGTGATTTTGTCGCTAGAATTTGAGAAACCAATCAGTACATCTAAAAGGATGTCTAATATGAATTTCATAGATACTCTCATGAGCAATGCGACTAAGAGGGATGACTACGTAGTTCTTGTCTTTGAAATTCTTAAGCTATCTATATACACTTTAAACATATTTTTAACTTGCCTAAATGAGAGCATTCATTGACGACATTCTGACTTATTTGAATTTTGTTAAATATTAAAGAGGTGGTATAAGAACGTCAAAGTGGGGACATTATTATAATCGCACCAGTATCAAAAAACTTTAACTTAAGTCCAACTTAAATGATGCAGCTGCAATAGAGTGGCTCCAAGATAGTTAACAACCTCCACCTTAAAGTCGTTGAAAGGAAGTTTAAACCTCACCTTAGAGTAAAGACACTCGTGTAATGGTAGGATACATATGGTATATCTACTACACAGTCTTTTGTTAATTTCAGAGGGAAGCACATCCCAATCGAAGAAGGACCTACGTTAGTATATGTATTGTCAAAAGTATGCTTGTTGGCAAAAATATAGACCCTTTTTAACGTTTCTTGATCTACCTAAAGAGATTGGTATACATCCTTAGAAGCCTCGTCCTTCAGCTGGCTCCTTCGTACTATTTTTGCACAATTGCCAACAAATAAAAAAAAATTACGACCATAAGTATGGACACATGAATGTGATCTTATCCACCACCTAACTTCATTGTAAATTGGGTCAAAATCAAAAGCTCTTCTATGAGCACTAATATAGGTTTGAGCATTTCGTTCATATTTAAAAACATCTAATGGTTCTATCTTTCGCAATTTCAAGGATGGAAAATCAAACCCTCTAACAATCATTTGATATTAATATTGGCGTGTATATTTCCCCATTCCACGCCACTCTTCTTTTTGGATTCTCATTCCCCAAAGGACCTATCACCACAAAAATTAATATTTTCGAGTTCCTAGCACTAGCAAGCTCCGCGTCACTCTCTTTTTTGGGTTCTCATTCCCCAAAGGACCTATCACCTCAGGAATTAATATTTTCGAGTTCCTAGCACTAGCAAGTTCCCTAATTTCTGCAAAACTCACTGTTAATTCCTTTCTTAATTGAACAATACTTCTAGACCTGTCAGATCTATTACTTTTTCCCCGTTCGATAAGACACGTCACTAGGTTCATCGTCGCTCTCTAAGGTACTAGCAGATTTAAAGGAATGAAGAGGCATAACCATTAATCTCAAAAGATGCTTCGAAACAAATAGATAGGTTCAAAGAACGTGGAAGGTTATAAGAGTTTGAAAATGGATGGAGAAACAAAGAGATTAACACTATAAAACAAAGAAAGTGAAAGAAACAATTCACACTTCTCCTTCTAGTTATATAGGTAACTAGTGGCAGCAAGATCTACGGTCAAGAATCAAGAAAATATCAAAAAGCATGATCAACGACTCATATCCTACCTTAATTCCACAACGAGATTCGAGCACACTCAAGCACTTTAAGAGCATTACCTCCCTATCCTAGGCACCTAGGTCCACATTAAGGATCTCTCTAACAAAACGTTTCAGTGGTGGGACAAACATTTAATGTGCATGTTCTCAAGGTCACCAACTCTCACTCAACTTATCATTGATCTCTCTGTAGCCTGGGAACTCTTCCAATGGTCGCACAATTTCAAGACGATAGTCCATTGAGGTCGGTCTCATCAATTATACTAATTTCATATCCGATAGCAAGGACGCGATATGCAACTGTTCTGAACAGGTCAAACGACTCAATAAATCAACCTAATACGAAGGCCTAATTCCTCTCAATGAGACTGACGAACGGGTGTACTCCCTCTAAGAGGTCATGCACTGAAGTCGGACACCACTCTCATCTCAACTGTTGGAATCCATCTAACGATCTCTGCACTGAGCGCCACATTCACCAAAAGAGGTTCTAACTATCGTTTATATATAAATGTGACTCCGCGTCACACCAAGATATAACTCATTGCACACTTGCAAATTCATTATCTTCCGAGTATTAATATTGCATGTCCATCTCATCTCCGTACACTAGAGACCACAGCCGTCATACCGAAAACCTTCTATAGTCATTCGACCAATATACTACACCAACACCAGCTTCACCAAACTTCCTGTTTCACAATGGAATGTAAGTTATGCGACTAAAGTTTTTTTTTTTTTAATTCAGTCTTTTGATTAAAAATAAATGGTTTTAAATTAGCAACGACTTCTCCAACTCGACATGCCTTCTCCCTCAAAGTGTTAGGATGCAAATTATTCTCTAATCTTACGTTATATAGATCCATTTTGAAAGCTCTAAAAATGGCGTTGATTTATCATTATAATCCTACCTTATATAGATCCATTTCGAAAGCTCTATAATATGACACGATCACTAGAACTATATATCACATGTTTCTGTCAACAAATGGTGTCAATTTATGTCAACCATTGCAGATTCACTAGACTGAAGTCCAAAGAATCCTCATAATCATCATTTACCTTAAAGATCTACATCTCTAAAGCATGTGTATTCCTCTCTCCTCTCCTAAAATGTTATGTGATTTGGTTCAGATCTTGTGAAAAAATGAATTACTATTTTTATTGGTCCAAATTTTCCCTCTCTTTAAAGCCGAATCAAACTAACTCATTATACACCTAGAACAATCTACACATAGATTGTTCATCATTATAAAACATATTGAGAAATCATTACAAAGAAACTAAGATCAAAAATACCAAACAGAAATATTTAAGTTTTCAAGAAAATAGTTTTTACATTTCACTATATAACACTTTAAAACATAAAAAACCAGACCGGTCTAGTGTTTTTCAACCGGGCTGTGGGAGTTCCCTTACAAATTTATTGATTTTAGTAAACATAGTAAAAAAAATCGTTCACACATTTTAAGTTATATATTATTTACGTATTTACTACATATCATATCATGCCTCTTGATATACTAAGCTAAGAAACACATAAGACTCAATCATGTCAACAAAATAGCTTTCTTTAACCAGTATTGTTGAAACCTTTGCCTTGAGTACTCCTTGTAATCAAAATCAATTGTATTCACATAATTCTGCAACACACAAAGCAACCCGACATTTTGGCTTTAGCAGACAGAAGTAAGGGGTTGGTGTCGTATGCTTTTTATATTAAAAGTGTCTATGTGTTTGTGTCCCTACTCTGTGTTGGTGTCTGTCTCGAATGTATTTTATATTTCAAGTGTCAATGTGTTTGTGTCCTTGTTGTGCCTGGTGTCTGTGTTCGTATGCTTTTTATATTAAAAGTATCGATGTGCATGTGTTCATATTGTGTTTGGTGTTTGTGTCATATGCTTTTAGAAGCGTCGGTGTGTTGGTATCCCTATTGTGTCTGGTGCCTGTGTCGTATGATTTTTATATCAAAAAGTGTTGATGTGTCGGTATCCCTATTGTGTCTGGTGCCTGTGTCATATGATTTTTATATCAAAAAGTGTTGATGTGTCGGTATCCCTATTGTGTCTGGTGTTTGTGTTGTATGCTTTTTATATTAAAAGTGTCGATATGTGTCTGTGTCCCTATTATGCTTTATAGTTTTAGAGCAACTATAAAAATGAAAAAATCACTTACTGAGATAAGTCCCCATAAGCCCCAAAATAGATGGTTTGCAAGAGTGTACTTCTCTACAACATTCACTAACTGCTCCACTTCATCTTCACTTGGTTTTTCCCCTATGAACAAATTTAGTCAATTTAAAAGAGTGCATAAGCAACTAGAAATAATCAGCTTATATATCATTTTTAGTGACATTAATGTCCATTTTACAACCGTCTCCGAAGTGATTTGTAATTCATCCTTCAGTACCTATAAGTATAGACACAGACATGGATACTGAACATGACACCGATACTGACACGTTGACACAAGTAACAATTTAAAAAATGAATAAATTGAATGTAATCACAAGTATCGTGTCGGTGTCCGCTCTGACATGTCTTTTTTCAGAGGTTTCAGTGCTCCAGAGTTCAGTATCACATAAAATCAACCAAAATATACAAAAACAAAAGGTTTAATCATTTGAGAATGTCCAATCAAATGTATTGTAAGAGTGAATTTGTTTGTAAAAATGGACTAACCTTCAGAACTCAGGTATGTATAAATAAACCTTCGACGTTCCTCGAGATCTGGTGTACCACATAAACAAATTGTTGTCTCAGCAATACTTAGAGATTTCAAATTCTAATACAAAAACCTAATAGAGTCTGTAAAATGTATCAGCAATTCCATTACCAGGATATTTAGTATAGTCAAGAACATGAGGCGTGTCACTGTGGTAATCTGCCGCCATTTCACAGAAGTGATTTGCAAGATCATACGCAACAGGATTGTAACTCGAGTACTCGTAGTCCTATATCATTACAAGTAGAAAAGTAAGCTTGCAAAAATGATATGACAGATGAAAAATGGTAGGAAAAAGCAAAATGGCGGAAGTGGTGTAAGTTCAACACGACTCAAGGATTTTCTGAGACGTTGCTAACACTACATTCTTAGTACTATTCTTTGTCCAAGAACGCTTACCTGTGAAGTTCTGATGAAATTTGTTACATTACTGATGGTATGATCGCACCCGAGTTCTAAAAGATCGATTTGGACTATTGATTGTAAAAGTTAAGCGATGATAACAGAATTTATAAGCACAATTTAGCGAGATAACTTACTATTAAAGTGATTGATCTAGTCTCTTCATCCATCATGATGTTACCGTATTGTAGATCATTGTGACAAAAACCAATTTCTTGATATCCATCTGATAACAACTCCCTCAGCGAACTTAACTCAGCGTCTAGATTGTCCAAGCCAAAAATTTTGATATCCTTTTGGGAGCATAAACTTTTAGCATGACTAAGCCATTTCCTAGTAAAATATGAAAAGTGTAAATAGTTCGGTTAAGTATAGTAATTTTTTGAAGATTAGCAAGATGCTTATTTCAAGTACCTCATTCTCTGCCAAATCTGAGCCTTCTTTGCACCAGGCATATGAAGCTTGTGAAACTCCTTCATCTTAGATGCTATCAAAGATGATATTTCAGGGTCTCGGAGGTCGGCAGCTGAAAGTGTCTAAAAATCCAAAAACATGAAAGTGAAAAACAAAAAAAAAACATGTTATATACATGGTCGTCATATGTAACGCCAGATATCAGATTGAAAGCGTGTCAAGTGTCTAACAGAGACATGACACTGACTCATCTGATTACATTCAATTATTCTATTTTCTCAAATTATTATCGGTGTTGGCGTATTCGTGTCATGTTCAATGTCTGGTGTTTGTGTCTGTGTCATCGGTTCTTCATAGCACTCATCGGTTTGTCAAAATTCGTAATCATCAATTTTCCACAAGTTTGAAATTATTTTGATCTACATCCTCTATGATCACTTACAAGTTACAACTGTCATGCTTTGATATAAAGACAGAAAAATAAACTATAATATTTGTAGGACCTTAATTTTTTGTCTCTTTCTAATAATTTATATGAAATAACATCAACCTCTATGATGTCATGCCAAGTTATGCTACATTTACATCTAGACTTAGATATTTCCAAGATGCCCTTCAAAACTAAGCATTTTTTTTTATTAATTCTTTTCCTTTATGACTTTTACTTAAACAAATATCATCCATTGAATTTAATATCTCAAGTATGCTTCTTAAATAATGTAAAGTGTCACTAAAGAAAATGCTAATATTCCATTCCTCCAAAGTTAAAGAGATCCAATATTATAAAGTAAAGGGAAGAACCAAAGAAAAGCTTTTTAGACTACCTTGATAAAGCAAAATGGAAAAGAAAGATTTGAGAGACTTAAAAATTACAAAAATCATTCTGAAGTAGTCATTGTAGCTACTTTCATCTCGTTAATCCAAGTGCAGTTATATGAGATTGTACGAGATTTCTTCTCTCGTAACGAGAGGTTCTGAGTTCGAACCCCTTTACTAATAGAACTAATAGCTCATCAAAAGAACACAAGCTTTTTGTTTTACTAAGACATGTCTCTTCTAATCATAGGTAATCATCCTATTCGAGTAAACATAAATATGAACATCTCTTTTAACAAGAATTGAAATGATGCTAATGACATACCCGGGCATGAATGAACTCTTCAACTCGACCAGTAGTGAAACGGCCAAGAAGGCGCGGACCTTGTCCATTCTTCGACATACACTCAAAGGTTTGAATTTCATCATCCCTATCGAAGAAAACCTCGACACCTTCACCGTATAATCGAACCAAAACTCTTCGAAGATGACCGTCACTTTTCGTCGGCCAATTCACCTCAAAAACCTCATTTGTCATTGCACCCTTTAAGGGATTCACCTCCACAACACTCACATCATCAATTACATCCCCTAAATCCACAGCCACAGCAGCAAGAACTTTCATTATCTCTTCATGAGTTTCACATCCTTTCAACAATTCAAAGGTTTTTAAAGCCATCAATCACTTTCTGCATGTGGATAAAAACAAAGGGAAATTGATTTTGCTATGATTTTACATGCAACAACACAAACAAGATAAAATAAAATCAGAAAATCTTGATGACCCAATTGAGAAAATATCATCATAATTGATTATCCTTATTAAAGTTCAAAATTTTACATCAAAATATTTATTAAATTTATATTGAAAAGGTTCAAAAAGAACCCTTTGGAATAAAAACAAGAAAAATACAAAAAGTTTCAATTTTTGTGAGATTAAGTGAAGGAAAAAAAAGCTCACCTTTGAAGAAAAACAGAGATATGAAACTTGAAGTCTTAAACAAGCACTGCAATAAGAATACATTAAAAATATGCATTAGAATGACATCATAAAATAATAATCAAATCATAAGTAATAATTAATAAAAAAAACATATAGAAGATTTGAGATTTGAGAAGAGAACCAGTAAGAGATAGAAAGAGTCAATGCAAGAAGTATTGAGAGTAGGGCAGGAAGAGAGAGATACCGACAGAAATGATCTTTATAATAGTGTGAATCAATGAACAAGTCAAACAAAACATACAAAGCTGGCAAAGAAGCAATCTTTTGTCAACAACACCAATTAAAAAAATTAAGTATATATTTTTATTCCTATTATTCTAATAATCATTGAATTGTGCACATTAATTATAATGGCCATATGATATGGATGTAAATTTCTATGCATGGCTTTAGTATATTTTATATATTTATAAAACTATAAAAAGTATATATATATATATATATATATATATATATATATATATATATATATATATATATATATATATATATATATATATATATATATATATATATATATATATATATATATATATATATATATATATATATATATATATATATATATATATATATATATATATATATATATATATATATATATACTATATTTTATATTTGTATATATTATTTAAAAAAAGTAATACTATGATAGATTTAAATAATGGGATTGAATGGAGTATTGTTGTAAACTTGTTTTATATTGATATTACATAAAAAAAAAATTTGATTATATTAAAATAGATAATTGTATTAGATCTTATTTTAATATAATATAAATATACGTGAAGGGCCCACAACTTCCTCTCCTATATAATTAAAGAATTTTTTAATTGATAGTCTTTGGTATTTAGCGAAATTTTTTATATACCTTCTATTTTTGGAGATACATATTCAGACGCACTCTTTTTTTTTTATACTGGATGTTTTTGAACATGTATCTATGAAAAAAGTTCTGGAGATGCAACTCCGAAATCTTATCAGAACAGGTTTTTAAAAAAAATCAAATTTTGTTGGTCGTAGATGAAAATTAACTGTTGTAGATGAATATAAAATGACATACATCCGTAAATAAAATAATATGATATATATAAGAAATAATATGGTACATCAATATCATCAAAAATATAGTACATCAAAAAAACATCACAATTACTACTGTGTGTGCTTGACCGCCTCGTCTCTGCCGCCTCGTCTGTCTCTCCCGCCTCCTCGATCGCCCGGTCTGCGTCCTCGGCCATCGATCCCACCCGTCCTGGCGTGATGCCTGCAGTACATAATGTCTATGCTGCCACCGCAATGATGTCATCCAATACGCACTTGTGGTCAGACCCCTCAAGGAAGAAACCGGTGGCAATGTCTGCCCAGTCCATCTCTACTATCTGACGATAGCGAGGCAGGACATCCTGAGTGAGGTCTAACTGAGACTGCTGTTCTTCTAAGATCTCTTGATGAGCTAGTATGGGTGGTGATCCCTCGGTAGTGGGCACCATGTAGAGCTGTGATACAGTGAAGAACCACATGATGTAGCCATCAGCGCAACTCAAGTTTGTCGGCGCTCTGGTCGCCCGAGCCTCGTCAAGTATCATGTGTCTCTAGTAGTCGGCATAAATCTCCTCTATCTGCATACAGATCAAGCCAAGAGGAGCGGAGAGCTGGGTGTCTGGGAATTGTCTGAGTGTAGTCGAACTACCGCATGACGCGCTCGGACGAATATGAAACAGTGATGGTCGAATTGCATGCCAACCATCTTGAGAATAGGGAGATGTCGTCAAACGGGTGTGTCACATGGTTATCAGCATAGACGTCGTACTGGATGTTCTCAGCAGCCAGGTGATCGAGATATACTCTGTATGGTTCGACCACCTGGTTCCCCCTGAGCGGGGGAAAGGCACGCGACATCTGCTCTGTGTAATCAGGTACACTCTGAAGGTGAGAAAATACTTAGAAGGGGGGTTGAATAAGTATGAAGATAAAAACTTAGAAGTAAAAACTCAAGTATTTTTATCTTGGTTCGTTGAACTCAACTACTCCAGTCCACCTTTTCTAGAGTGATTTGCCTTTCTCAAACAAGGACTTAATCCACTATTTAATCAACTGATTACAATAGTAAGCACTAAGAACAACTGTTCAAAGTCTTCTCAAGAACTACTGATCCTAACTGGATCTTCTTAAGATTTTCTTACAATCAAATGTAATAATAAATACAAGTGTTAAAATGCCTCTAATAAAGCTTTATCACAACTGTGATTTTTCACTTAAGATTAAGAACAATGAAATAATTCTAGCAAGAATATATGAGTTGTATGAGAGCTTTTTAATCAATTCTTTTCAAGTGTATTCGTCAACTGAAGAAGATGAGTGGAGACTTGCTTTTATAGGCACAGTGATCCAAGAGCTTTTCACGTTGAGAAGAGTGTACCAAAAGGTCTGAGCCTTTTTGTCTTCACATCAAGTGACCTTTCCTAGAAGAAGAATGCACAGAGAAATCCTTTTTGTTTGTGTTCTTGTGTCTAGCATAAATAAGGAAAGAGTCGTTTGGATATTCCAATGGACATAATCTTTGAATTCTTCTTCAACAATTTTCAGCAAGAATCATCAGAGTCTAAGTTAGTCAGAGCCTTCTGATGTTCATCAGAGTTTTGCTGAATCAGAGTCTTTGCAGCAAGTGTGCTTTCAGCGTGTATAAGTTCAGAGAAGAATTTTTGGGTCAGATCCTCAGTACTGGCAGCGTTAGTACTATCAGAGTCTTCTGAAGTAACTGTGCTTGAAAACTCTTCATACAGACTTCTTCATTGCTTCAGATGCTTCTGGCTTGCTTCAGATTCTTCTGTAGCTTCTGCTTCAGATCCATCTGGAGGCAGCGCTCAGAATCTTCTGGTGGCAGCGTTCAAAATCTTCTAAGAGATGCTTCTGACGCTTCAGAGCCTTGCATATTTCTTATGTTCAGATCTAATTGGCTTTTAGAGTGATATTTACTTTAACATCTGCAGCAAACACTCTCAAGAAAATTTTAGAGTATATAATTCTTCAATACAAAATTTCATAATAGTTATCATCAAAATATAGAGATATTATTAAGACCCAATCTGTGTTCTAACAATCTCCCCCTTTTTGATGATGACAAAAACATCAGAAATTTTGTTCAGTTAGAAAAGAAAATAATCATAACTCCCCCTGAGATGATGAATCTCCCTCTGAATTGAATATTAATAAGGAATAGAAACTTCCCTTTTTGTCTTGAGTATTCTTTTCAGAATTAGAGCTTGAATGTTCTAAACATTAGATCTTGCATGTTTCAGAGTCAGAGTCTGATACGATAAAAATGATCTGGAAGTCTCAGAGTTTCTTTTAAGAAATATATCAGATTTATCAAATGTTTTGAAACACTTAGAGTTTATGTTAGATAAAATTTGATATATCTGAAGTTTCATTTTGGTAGAGTTTATTTAAACAGTTCAGATCTATTTTCTCCCCCTTTTTTGTCATAATCAAAAAGTAAAAAACTTTTAAAAGACAAATAAAAGGAAATACAGAAACGATAAATCATGTAGAGAAAACATTGAGTCATTCATTCATTCAGAGCAAATAATACAAACATTAGAAAAGATTCAAGTACATGTGCAAACATCAGATAAAAAAATAAACTAAGTTTGTTTTGACAAAATCATCTTCAACAAATCAGTGATCTCAGAGGAGGACTGTTCTTGCTTAGACATCCACTTAGCCATGGTTTCATTCTTCTGGTCTTGTTTGGACATCCAATGAGCCATGTCTTCAGACTTCTTATCTTGCTTAGCCATCCATGACTTAATCTCTGATTGACCAGCTTCCAGAACTGCAATCTTATCTTCAAGATCTGGATACTCTTTCTTGATCTCAGATGAAGAAGGTGGGATAGATTCTGAAGCAGGAACAGAGTCAATTTCCATAGGGGATCCAGAGTCAGGAGCAGCAGATCCAAAGGGATGTTCTACAAGAGTCATAGCCAGATGATTGTCTTCAGATGCAGATTCAGTGTTCACTTCTGTATCACAGACTTCAGATGATGAAGGAGCATCTTTAAGAAGCAATGGTGCAGATCTTTTAACAGTCCAGAACAAACTTCTAGCAGTTTCAGCAAATTTGAGTTTCGCATCATCAGAACATACGTTCTTCAGATTTGATGCTACAGTATTGAATATGTTGATGAAGCTATTCCAAATAGCATCAGATTCATTTGCATCCATTGTGGATAAGCATTTCCTCTGTACAGAGCCTAAATGCATCTCTATTTCTTTCAAAAAACTTGTAAATAAATGATCAACATTCAGCCTAGGTTTTGGTTTTAGAAAAGTTTCCAATGTGATTGGCTTGGGTTGAGGTGAAGGTGGAATAGTGAATTTTGGAATGGTAATCAGAGGACGAGGGTAGAAGGGTATGGATGGAGGATAAGATGAAATGACAGTTTTTGATCTGATTAAAGCATTCAACATATATGGTTTTGCATCAGATGCATAGGAAACAACATCAAATGTGGTAGAAGAGTAAGGAATGAATGCAAATTTATCAGATAAAAGAGGTTCTGATGAAGTCATTTTTGGCAGTTCTTTTATATAGGTTTGAAGAACAGATGGTAGAATGATGGAAAGCTTGGGTTTAAGAGGGGTGATAGTGTCAGATGGTTCAATTCTGTC